AGGTATTGTAGATGCGTCATATTGTGAATTAATAGTATTAAAATATTTAAAAATAACCGTCAATCACAATAAAATTAAAAGATTAAAATATCATATTATGTTCCCTATCGAGTACTCGATTTACATATGGATCTCTCAAAATAAGATTACAATATTACTTCTTGGGTAAGTTTACATAATTTATTTCAACTAATTATTTTGTTTTCTATATTCATTTTTCATTAATATTAAAACATTTACTTCACAGTCCATATACGAACTTCGACATCAATACGCAATACGAAATTAACATATTTGCGACCTGGGATACTACAACAAATGGTACTACAAGGAATGGTGAATCAATATAAAGGACAAAACATCAGAAGAAAAATCATTAAAATCCTAAAAAGTAATTCAGTGAAAAGTTTATATACAAAACACCAGATGATGGCTATATATAGCCGAAACATGTTTTGTAAGTTCCATATGTAAATCGAGTACTCGATAGGGAACGTAATATGATATTTTAATCTTTTAATTATATTGTGATTGACGGCTATTTTTAATATATTTTAATACTATTAATTCACAATATGACGCATCTACAATACCTTATGAATGGAAATGTTAATTGTTTTACTTCTTGCAGGCTACAGCTTCACCGGTGGGGACGATGGATACGCAAAGAATGAAACTATTGTCGGGGAAGATCTCTACAATGCTCTCTTGCAGTTTTTTCAGTTATTTCCAGAGTTACAGAAAAGTGAATTTTATGTTACAGGAGAGTCATATGCAGGTAAATCAAAATGTCTGCAGTTTGTCAAAGTGAATTCTTTTTGTAACAGCAGTTAATTTTTTTTGTGTATGAGTGACAAAGCTAGAAACCGAACATGCAGTCTGGCAAGTGGGTTATGTTACGTTAGAATCCTTTGGCTTGCATAGAAATCACTTTTCACTGTATTATATTTACAATTGCAAGTGATAATAGAAGAAATGTCAACCTTGTGGGTTTTGATCAAGACTACAAACACAAACCCAGCATACTAACACTTAAACTAAATGGCATGTTGTTATTGCATCGTAAAAGATTAACAGCACAAGATTTATAAGGCTAGAAATCTTGAGTATATAAAAGTAAAGAGTCCCGCGCCGTAGCCGCATGGTCTGAGGCATCATGCTGCAGACCGGCGATACAGAATGCGCGCTGGTTCGGGTCTCGGGGGAGAAGAAATTTTCTCATGAGCTTTCGACCGGTGTATGGGACCGGTGCTAACCCAGCATCGTGAGGAAATTGGGTAGCTACAATGAGTAGCGTAATCCGGTCAGGAAAACTAGCAATGGCTGGGGGTTCGTCGTGCTGACAACACGTCACCCTATATCTGGTTGGATGATCGTTCACCTTTGCTTAGGCATGTGAACGTGAGACCAGCAGTCAAGCTAGTCGGCTTTGGCTCTCTGGAGCTGTTACGCCACGGATTTATTTTATTTATTTATTTATATAAAAGTAAAGTATATGAGTTCTGCCAAAAATTCCTTGTATTCCTATGTTGTATCTGGAAATTTTGAGCTGAGCAGTACAAACCGTAAAACATTATCATTATGAGACTACTAAGACCGCAGCTTGAGATGATTATGGCATACTCTCAAATGTTCAATATTCTGCAGTCTTATACTTATTTTGTTTTTATCCAACCCTAAAGTGTATAATATGACATGAGGTATTTCATCATTTCACATGTTACCAAATAAAAAGCATTATATAAATGTTAGTTTCTTGAAATCTTTTTACATTTTAAACTATTACAATTTACTGCATAAAAATGTGAAACAACCGAAGCTGGAAGCTGATTACTTACCTCCACCTTGTGTAGAGTTAGAGAATGTCTGTATCTTAGCTACAGTATAATGAGCCAGGATAGCTCAGTCAGTATAGTAACTAGCTATGTGTTGGACATTTGGGGTTCGATCCCCGACGGGGGCAGAAGATTTTTCCTCTAGCCTCTGCATCCAGACCAGCTCTGGGGCTCACCCAGCCTCTTATACAGTGGGTACTAGGGATCCTTTCTCAGGGTAAAGCGCAGTCTGGGCATGATGCTGATCACTCACCCCCATCTAGTGCTGAGGTTAAGAAACAGTAGGAGCTATACCAGCTCTCCCCCCAAGTGCCTACATGGCGTATAGTGGGACAGCTTTGCTTCTAACTTTTTTATAATGCTAAAGTCAGAGGCATTCTTGCCATGTCTCATATATTCTTTCATGTTTCAGAATTCTTTCAATAAAATAAGACATGAACGTAATTTTAACATGTACAACATTCTTCCTAGGTAAATATGTTCCTGCTGTTTCATACACTATACATACAAAGAATCAAGTTGCAAAACAGCTCATCAATTTCAAAGGTAAGAATAACATCAGTCCAAATGTGTTGCATAGAAAGACAGTGACTTGTGTATAATTTGTCTTGTAAAATACAATGTATTTTCCTTCTTATGTGATGTTTTTAAAATTCAAATGAGGAATTTGTAACACAGTTTTCTTCAGATACACTTGTGTGGAGAATTGGTACATGTAATTCAAATTGCTTGACTGAATAGGAGTGTGTTTTCTTTTTGTATGTACTGAAACACGTGTAACTCACACTTGGAAGGTACCCATTTTAAATCCTGCTAAGGGACAGACAGTATTATAGGAGTGAACTGTAATAAAATAAATATTTATGCACCAGTGATAATCAAATGCTCCAAATACATACCTCAGTCCATGTGAAACTACATCCCATCATATAAGATGCTGAAAGTCATTGCCCCGAATACACGTGACACATCTGCAGAAATGGCTGCAATCTTATGTTGATTTTTTTTTTTGGGGGGGGGGGCATCGATGGTGCAACACTTCTTTGTGTAGACTTTTCCCTTCTTTAGGCCCCAGAGAAAAACAGTTGGTAGGGCTAAATCTGGAGATCGTGTTAGCCAAAAGTCATTTGATAACCTGGTCTCCGACAAAGCTTTTGAATTCCTTCATTCTTCACTTTTCTGTGTGACATCTTATTGGAATTAGCCAGTATCTATATCTTTGTCAGTCAACTGGTGTACAGATGCATTGAAAATTTTGAGGTAATGTTTTGTTCATGTTGCAGTCAAAGAAATTTGCCTGATAATTCAGGTCCATGAAACAGCACAGCATTCACCGCTTATGAAATGCATGTAAATTTTCCAGTGCACACAGATGTGTGTTTCTGAGTTAATTTACCCATTACCTGCATGCATGACTACTTTTCCTTTATACACATCCATTGAATTATTATAAAGCAAAATTAGCTCTTTCATTGTTAACTAACTCCATGGTTTACATTGAAATTCCCTACTTTTATGTAATCCAAATGTTAACAGAAGTTTGCCACTGCATCCTATCATGAGCCAGTTGTGTCCAGGTACACTTCCATTTTAATATTATCTTCCCATATATATATATACACATACAGGTCTCCCAAGTGGTCTAGTGTAGTGTTTCTCAACTGGGAGTCGATGAGTTGAGTAGATTCAACCCTTTTATTTTCTTATGCTGTATGTTTTAAGATTTTTGATACATCTTTTACTTCCATAGTGGAGTAAAACATGATGAGAAATTATACCTTCCATCTCTATTTTAGATAGTCTGTACTCTGTTTCATCAGAATGTATGAGACAATTTTGGAGAGTGGATCTGCATTACCAGAAAAATTGTGAGGTTAGGAAACACTGGTCTAGTGTACTGTCCAAATCTGTAAACACATTCACAAGATTATCTCTCAGATTCTTATAAATGGTGATTTTAATCTATTCTTTTGCACACACATGCAAGCTCATCTATATAATATTTAAGAAACCAGTCTACACCTCAGATAATATACAATATTTCTTCAACTGTTAATGCTGTTTATTCTGAGAATCATATGAAACCCATATATACAAAATACAGTTTTTGATTATTAAATAGGTGTCCAAAAAAGATATATACACATAATATGGAATTATTCTTGCTGTTCATCAGCTTATGGAGGTGAGGACATGGTATTAGCAAGACAGGGCACTTACACATTAACTTCATGATGTCAGGGCAACACCTTTCCCGACCAACGGAGAGGAAGCACGGGATCTGTTGAATACCCCCCATGATTACCATATTTAGCCTCACCTGGCTTGTTCTTGTGGGATTACTTGAAGGATGTTGTGTACAACACGAAGCCAGCAACACTTAAAGAGCCCTGGCAAGAAACTGAATGGTCTTGTGGAGTCGTCCTAGCAGCAACTTTGGTGGCTGCGTGTCAGTCAGTTACTCACTGTTATCAGCTGAGCCACAAAGCTGACAGTGGTCATTCTAAACACCTACACTAATCTTCTAATTTACCAAGTGCCAGTGATGATGTATATAATGGTTTACTTTATTAAAATGTTTTTATTTCATTCATTAAATGTGTGTATGCATCTTTTTTGGACATGCTGTAGTTACCAGTGGGTTATAAATGGTTAATTCTTCTGTGGACCTTAAATAATGCTGACAGGTTCTTTTAGTGCAACAGAGAGAACAGTTACCCTTATGAAATTAGAGTTAAGTGTATTTTGTTTTGCAGGCATGGCTATTGGCAATGGTCTCTGCGACCCAGAACACATGCTGAAGTATGGAGACTATCTTTATCAGATTGGACTTATAGATATAAATGCAAAAGCAATTTTTCATGACGCGGAGCAATTGTTAATAAAATATATCCAACAGAAGAAATGGAATGAAGCTTTTGACGTAAGTTGAAGGCACGATCCTTTATATACTATCTTGTATATGGCAGTCACTCCTGGTTTATAATTGATCTGTGTTGAGTATGACATACTTATTTCCAAATAATAATGGCTGTACTTTCTGCGAATATGAGCCGGGATAGCTCAATCAGTAGTGACTAGCTATGGGCTGGACAGCCAGGGTTTGATCCCCGACGGGGGCAGAGGATTTTTTTCTCTAGCCTCTGCGTCCAGACCGGCTCTGGGGCCCACCCAGCCTCCTATCCAGTGGGTACCGGGGTCCTTTCTCCTGGGGGTAAAACACGACCGGGACGTGATGCTGACCACTCACCCCCATCTAGTGCCGAGGTCAAGAAAGGGAGGAGCTATACCTCCTCTCACCCCAAGCGCCTACATGGCACAAACTTTACTTTACTTTCTGCAAATGTGGGCAGCAGTGGAATGATCAGTTCTCGTGTGAAATACACATATTTCCTCTATGCTTTCTTAAAGATAATGCATCTGTCGTTGAATTTTGGCTTCATTTATTGGGAATATTTATCTGCACAGATGCATAAATAAGCTTTTCCTTGTGTTTCATGATTTATCAACCACAGAATGGTGGTGGGGTGGTGTCCATACCAATTTTAAAGAAATCTGTGTATTTTTGCAAAAGTGAAGGTTGAAGGGGATGGACGAGACACTTTAATACCACAGTCCTGCCTTTCCTTAGAAATGAGCATAAGTTGAAACATTAATATAAACTACTTGTACCACAGTACATGTATCAAGTATTTTTCATGTTTCATTGATATGGGAAAGCTTGTGTGGGAGTTCTCCTAAGTATAATGGCACCCCTGATAAAACAGAGAGGTTCGATAATTTTTAGCTTTTATTTAATTGATCATTTGGAGTACAGATTTTATTAAATCAGTTTAAATTTACAAAGCATGTTGTTGACAGTTGATGAATAGGTCGTCATGATATATTTCATGCACTGCATAAAATAATGCATTTTGCTTAATATTTCATGACATAACATTGCGACAACCGACAGACAGTTTCCAGTATTGTTTGTGTGTCTTGTTTAACTGCACAGATTCATGTGAAATGAGATATGAAAGTAATGGTAAAGTTTTCTCTGTGCATAATTAAGCACCACGCTATGAAGACATGTGGAATGTGAATTATAGCTTCATACATTCTTAACCTCAGTACAAATTGAGGTAAGTGGTCAGCTGGGAAAACAGCCTCCCACAACGCACTGGATAGGTGGGCCCCGGGGCTGGTTTGTATGTCGCAGCAAAAAGAAATATTCGTGCCTTGGTTGTCCATCCCAGCTCAAAAGAGGGAACAGACAGTTTTGAATGGTGAGTTTGAAAGTACCGAAGGAAACTGACTGACCTAAAAACATCCAGTCTTGGTGGCCAAGGTTTTAATCAGAAAACTCCACAGGAAATTCTCTGCATGAGAAAGTAAATAAAGTTGTGCTGCACATACACACCACACAAAGTCTGTTGTTCACTTACCATTTAGGAGTTGGTCAGTTTTTCACGAACATCTTTGACTGCAGAATCCTTTTGGTCTCAAAATATACAGCATACATGGAACCCCAAACTGAAATTGGGCAAAATTTTCAACTGTAATACACATGGAAGAGTGTGGATTATTTGCTGTACATAAGTGAAGAAAATAATAAAAATTAAAATTTAATACTTTTTCTGCATTGTACCTCTTTGTATTAAGAATAATAATTCTGGTTCACTTACTGAACATTGTGTATGATGGGTGCAGAATTTGGTATCCTTGTTTTAGTGTGATATGACAGAATTTGCAGATATTTATTTTCTCTCCTCACAGGTGTTTGATACACTTTTGAACGGTGACACTCGATGGGGAACTCTCTTCTACAATTTGACTGGCTTCACTTTCTACTTTAATTACTTGCACAGTAAAGGCAGAGCTAACGATTTTATGGGGACCTACATTCAACTTGCTGAGGTGAGGAAGGCCATTCATGTAGGCAACTTGACATTCCACACAGATAACAGAGTAGAAGAACATCTGAAGGAAGATGTGATGCAGTCTGTGAAACCCTGGGTCGAAGTCTTGCTGGAAAAGTACAAAGTGCTGATCTATAATGGACAGTTGGATATCATTGTGGCGTACCCTCTCACGCTGGGGTTTTTGCAGGCTCTAGATTGGAGTGGCGCAGCTGCTTATAAAAAAGCACCAAGGGTACAGTGGCATGTTGGTAATAGTCTAGCTGGGTATGCAAGATCTGTAGGCAATTTCACAGAGATTCTGGTTAGAGATGCTGGACACATGGTTCCATCAGATCAGCCTAAGTGGGCATTTGATTTAATTAACAGGTTTACTGCTAACAAACCTTTTAATTGATCCTGATGTTGAAATACAGATAAAAGGTATGAAGCACTGCACAAACAATCATCATTCACTGATGTTTCCACCACTTGAAAATTTATTCTCTCTTCTGTATGTCCGCGTTTCTTTTCGTACTCTTTTATGTATTTTCCTTCCGTTTCTCTTTCAACCCTGTTCTTAGATTCCCTAATGGGTTGTTTATTCAGTGTCATCATCATTTCAGCTGCGAATACATGTGATGAGTCTGAGCAATTTATTTCAAAGTATTTCAATTATTTACATATATGCAGTCAGCAGGCAATTTTAAATAGTATGCTATTGTTTGTAATTTTTAATAGATTCATTATGAAGAAACAGGCATAGTGGGATATCATATTAAGATGGATTTTAGAGGTATAGTATATGAGAACTGGAATTGGAATGAGTTCATATAGTTTATTAAAGCTGAGAAAACTGGAGACAAAGTTAAACATTAAAAAAATGTACTCACTTAATAAATGGACTGAAGTGCTTGTGTTTCCATAACAAGGATTAAGCTAATTAAACTGTTACATGTGACCATATACAAGATAATCGCCATAAAAACATAATAAAAGTGTGTTTCATATTGTAAAACTTTATAATGTATTTAATTTTTAAACAGTTGTGGGGTAACCCAAATTCTTACCTTATTATGTAAAAGTAAATTTCAGCAGTTTCAATAAAAACTGTTTATTTACAGAGAAAAACTTATTTTAAATGTCTCCTAAATGCAGTTGTAAATATAAGACACCTTAATATTACCCTCAGCATCTTATTCAGTTGCTGTGATCCCTGTCTCCACAGAAACCAGGCCTCTGTAAAAGGCATAGAGAACTGATTGTGAGTAATACTTACTGATTACTCTTTCTAATTAAATTAGTAATTTGGCTAACTAACTAACTAGATGGCTTACCGAACCCGAAGGTTCATCACCGAATTAACCAAAGCCCTCCACCGGTCCCTGTCCTAGGCCACCAACATCCAGTCTCCTTCAACTCCTATCTCCTGTAGATCCCGCCTGACATTATCCTCCCATCTACATCTAGATCTCCCCAGCGGTCTCTTCCCCTCAGGCTTCCCAAACAGTGGACCCAACCAACTAGATGGCTTATGAAACCCGAAGGTTCATCACCGAATTAACCAAAGCCCTCCACCGG